TTGCTTAGTATTATATAATTCTATAACTATTTCAAAATGCAATTAATCCTATGTAAGGTATTTTACTTCTGCATTCATTTCAGGTTGGTAGAGCCAGGGTAATACGACATCTCACAGGAACTGAATGAGAACTTATTAAGCAATATCTACAGAGGGATCTCAGCTCCTTGAGGTCAGCAGTCACTGTACCCAAACTCACATTCTTTACTAAAGGACAAATAGGAACATCTAAAGGCTACTGATTTTTTTTTTTAAATGTTCCCATGTCGAAAATCAGTTTAAATGAATACAAAAGGATTTTAGTGGGGAAAAGAATAGACATTACAATCAAATGTTTATGAATTATAATTTTTTAAAAGCCTTTTGAAGATTATACTCTAAACTGTTAACAGTGCTTATCTAGGGGAAGTGTGATTACTTGAAGAGGTGGGGATAAGAGGATTGACCTTCTACAGTGTGTATTTCTTATTTTTATCTTTTACAATACATATATAATATTCTTAGATTTGAAAATAAAACAAAAATTTTTTAAAGAAAAAAGAAAAGATGTAACTATAGGTAGAAAAATTCTAAAAAATAAGATTAATGAGAGATGAGTAGCCCTGGCAGTCATTAAAATACCATACAAAGGTATAATAATTGAAATAGTATAACAGCATGTGCAAACACAGCTACATTAAAAGAACTAGACATAGTCCAGAATACATGTAGGAATTTTGTGCATGATAAAGATAGCATTGAAACTGTGTGGAGAAAAGATGGAATATTCAATAAATGATGTTGGGACTCCTGAGTAGCCATTTGTAAAAAAACAAAATTATATTATCTACCTCACATACCACATAAAAATAAATACCAAGAGGGTTAGAGATTTAAATATAAAACTTTTAAAAGTAATAATCCATGAAAGTATTAGAATAAAACAGAATAATTTTTAAATTTCATAGTAAGGAAGGTCTTCCTATCTATGACACAAAACCCAGACGCTATAAAAGATGGATAAAATCAACCACAGAAAAACAGAAAATTTCTGCTTAACAAAAACAAACCAACAAAACAAAGTCCTGCCCCCTAAAAAAGTCAAAAGGCAAATGACAAACTGGGATGAAATTGTAATGCATACTATTGAGGAACTCTTTTTTTAAATCACTTATAAAGAGTTGACAGAAATCACTAGACCAACAGCCTAAGAAGAAAGGTCAGAAGTTATCAATGGACACTTCATAGAAAATAAAATACAAATTGTTCTTAAACATAGGGAAAGATGTCTAAACCTATTTCATAATGAGAGAAATGCAAATTAAAATGATAAATACCATCTTTCCAGTTTTTAACTTGGTCAAGATCAATACAGTAGGTTGGTATGGGAAGGGAAACAGACACTTTGTAAATTGCTGGTGGGAATGTAAAATGGTGCCATTTGACAAATTTTGCTAAAATTAAAGAGGCACATATCCTCTCATTCAATAATACTTACAGAAGTTTATCCTATAGCCCTTCCTCACACATGTACAAAATGATGTATGTAAAAGATATCCACCGCAGTACCCTTTGAAGTAACCAAAGAGGGGGAGCAACCTATATGTCCATCCAAAAGGGACTTATTGAATGAATGAAGGCATCTCTAAATTGGAAGTCAGTGAGAAGAATGCAGCAACTCTTTATATACTAGTGCGCTGTTACTGAATGACCTCCACCATACATTTTTAAATGTTTGCTACCATTCTTGTAAAAAAATAATGGCAGGAAATACATACATAAAATGAAGGTATCTCTAAATTGGAAGTCAGTGAGAAGAATGTAGCAACTCTTTATATACTAGTGCACTGTTACTGAATGACCTCCACGATACATTTTTAAATGTTTGCTACCATTCTTGTAAAAAAATAATGGCAGGAAATACATACATATAGGCATGTGAGTTTATATATGCGTATGTATGTGTTTCACATATATGCACCATCTCTGGGAGGATGTATGAGAAGAGAAGCTGCTATCAGTGGCTGCTTCTGGGGTGGGAATGGAATAGCTGGGAACCAAGTATGGGAAGAAGACTCACTACTCCCTGTATATCCTTTGGTACCTTTTGAATTCTGTATCATAAATACCTACTAAATACACACACACACACACACACATTTACTTTAAAAATGAAATGGGAAAGGGAAAAAAAGCCATACTAAAGGTGTAAATATATATATACATACACACATATATTTACTTTAAAAATGAAATGGGAGGGCCGAGCCCATGGCGCACTCGGGAGAGTGCAGCGCTGGGAGCGTAGCAGCGCTCCCGCCGCGGGCTCGGATCCTATATAGGAATGACCGGTGCGCTCACAGCGCTCACTGGCTGAGCACGGTGCAGCCGGTCTCAAAAAGGACAAAAAAAAAAAGAAAAGAAATGGGAAAGGGAAAAAAAGCCATACTAAAGGTGTGTTTATCTAGAGGGAACTATGATGACTTAGAGACCTACATAATGATTCTGAGAGTTTAATGTTACCTGCTTATTTAAAGAAAAGACAAAGGCCAAGAGCCAGGGATATGGAACCCACTAAAGACTCTAAAGTTAGTTCCAAATGCAATCCTCAAATTTTCTGTGGCTCACTGTAAAAAACTCAACATAGCTTGAGTATATATTTAGTACAATAAACTAAAACATAAGCTGCAATTATATATTTATAAAGAAGATAAAACTAGGATACACTGCAAAAATCATATACTCTCATCATCACTGGCTTTTACCATAAATTTCCAGAAAGGAATTCAAATAAAACAACTGAAAGAACACAAAAAATTACAGTAACAAGACGGGAAGGAGGCACTGTCAGGACAAGGAAGAACAGCTCGTTCACTCGATATTAAAGTTATTCTGAGGCCCTCAGGCCCTAAGAAGTAATCAAAACAGCTGAAAATCTTGCAGCAGGGAGATATACAATAAGCAAATGAACAAATAAAAGTAATATACTTTAATATGTCTGATTTAATAGGTCTATTGTCTAAAGTAATATACTTTTTCCCCCCCTTTTTTTTGTCTTTTTTACTGACCGGTAACAGGATCGCAACCCTCAGTGTTGCGCCCACATTCCCCCCCTTTTTTTTTGTCTTTTTTACTGACCGGTAACAGGATCGCAACCCTCAGTGTTGCGCCCACACCGGGGACCGGCAACGGGATCGCAACCCTCGGTGTCGCGCCCGCACCGTGCTCAGCCAGTGAGCGGGAACCAGTCTCCACATGGGATCCGAACCCTCGGCGGGAGCGCCGCCAGGCTCCCAAGCGGCGCACTCTCCAGTGCACCACCGGGCCGGCCCTAAAGTAATATACTTTAATATGTCTAACAGAAAGAGAAAAATAATTAGCAAAAACAAAGGCTGTGGAGGGGGGAGTTCAAATTTAGATACGGGACCCAGCAAAGGACTCCTTCAGAAGGTAACACCTGAGTAAACGCCCAGGTGGGGGGACAGAGCATCCCAGCACAGGGAGCAGCGAGAACACAGGCCCTGAGGTGAGAATGGGCATGGGACGTCTGAGCACCCTCACAAAGTCTGGCTGGGGAGGCGAGAGGAGTAGGGGATGAGGTGGGATGAGGTCGTAGGGCTTGGGGGGCCACGTTTAGCTCTGGCTTTGGCTCTGCATGAAGTGCCCTGTTACTGGTGAGCATGGAGCCAAAGGGTGGTGTGACCTGACTTGTGTGTTAACACTTTCGCACCTCCTGGAAGGAGGGCAAGGTCAGGAGCAGGACAGTTGAGAGATGACTGTAGTAATCCAGAAAACAATGATAACCTGAAAAGGGTCATGACGATCAAGGGGACAAGAAGTGCTAGACTCTGAATTCTGAAGGGGGCTGCCAGGAGGTTCCCGCCGATAGCGCAGTGGTTATGAGAGGAAGAGGTTAAGAGAGTCAGGATATCTGGAGGAACAAGGTTATTTCCCTTTCCAGAGATGGAGAAGAGTGGGAAGAAGACATTGAGGAGGAAGGTCAGGCACTTGGTTTTACCACGCTGCAGGCATCCAGTGTGTGCAGATTGGCAGAGGCCAGGTTTTGGAAGTTGTCAGTGTGCAGCTGGTATTTAAAGCTACAGGACTAGAGGAAATCCCCCAGCAAGAGAGGTGGGCAGAGTATAGGCCTGAGGCCAGCAGGACTTCAGCACCAAGAAGCCATAAGAGGGGATGAGGAGGAGTGCAGGAAAGGGGGAAGCAAACCGGCAACAAGTGCTGAGCAGGAGCTAAGGGCTTTCACACAACACAGTGGACAGCTGGGGAGGCTGAGTAGGGTCACTGTGGACCCCCAGAAGTGCTGATCATTTGTTCTGCATGCAATAAAAAGATCCCTCCTGCGGGAGAAAAGTCTAATTTAAAGACGTTCAGTCGATTCCAAATCTGTGAATCTAAGAATTTCACAGATGACTAAAACTTTCTTAAATTGCCAAAAAATTAATAATTAGCTCTTAAAACAGGCTGTTCACATGTTCCCTCAAAAGAAGTAAGATTTTATTTTCATAGTAAAAACTAATATTCCATGCAAAAGACAGCAAACACAGTATCCTTGAAAATAATTTCTGATCCAGTAACAACCACATATGTTCCTGGGGTTCAAACCATATGTCTTAATTCATGCTTTTTATCCTCCCCCTCAAGTAACTAGCAAAGAAATATTAAATTAATGTGTATTCTCCTACTGTCACATAGTGCCCCCATAAAATTATTTTTCTAAGAAGGATAAAAACAAAAACAGCCAGATCTTCTAACACACCACTTGGTCAAGAATCTTAACATGGTTGTTTCCCCAACCCTCTCCCCACAAATTATCAAAAATCTGCTGCCAGAAGTATAAACAAACCATCAGAGACAATACAGTGCTTCTGTTACACAAAACCTATGTCAAATCCTGGCTTTCTTCCCCTGGCATTTCTCAAAGTGACAAAAATGTTCCTGATAAAAATGTCTTTTCTTATAAGACAGACTCACAGTTGGTGCCTGCAGGATTCAGTTCTTCACACTCACCAGGGAGGGAAGATGTGGATGATGTCCAAGGGACGCCCCCTGAGGCAGCCTGCAGTCTCCTTGGTGAAGAGAACCTGCAGGCTGGCTCCAGGTCCAGGGGCCACACCGTGGGAAGAGCTGGTGGCTGGTGGCCCCACCAACTGCTCACACATGGCAATTTGCATGGTGCATTCCTCATAGAGCTCTAGAATTTTCACAATTAATACACCAGATTTTATACCTAGAAATTGAAAGAACAAAAGCAAAAATGAAGTCCAAATGATATGAGGTTTAACCATGAATAAAGTGTCATGGAAAAAAGATCCACATTCTTCACTGAGAGAAAACAGTCTACACACTTTGAAAGGTAAAATAGACTCTACCATACTCACCATAACATCTTTTATAATCAAAATAGGCCTGTATGATGCACTTACTGTACGCTCTTTAAGCAACATAAAACAAAAAGTCTTCTATCATAAAGAAGTAATCTCACGTGTATGGAAACCTCAGACCCATCACTTCACGGAGCATGTTCTACTCCAAAACTTGAACCTTTGACAACCACAATAAAGAGAGCACGACCACTGTGCATCCTTCTTCTTTCTCATATGACCCTCCTCTTCATTACCTGCTTTGATTCTCTGCTTTGAAGTCATGTGTATTGCTAGTTAGCTGCAACTGTTCTAATGATCACAAAGGTTAAAAGCTGAGGATTTATGTGGAATGCCAGGTATCAGGGCTCTAGATTTAAATAGATGGAATTCAATCTGGATTTGAGTTCTGAGTCTCTTGGTCAAGTTTCACAGCATTTCAACACCTCAGTATTCTCATGTGTAAAATGGAGATCATGCCACCTGCCCCAGTGAACATTTGTGAGAATTAAATGTGATAAATGAAGTTGAGAGTGTGCGTGGCCTATAACCCAGAAATCCTACGTACATGGCCATAAACTATCACATGCACCAGGAGTCTTAAACAAGGATATACATCTTAACATCTTGTTAAGAGCAGAAAACTGGACCCAGCATAAATCAGGAGGATGGGTAAATGGGGGGATGTTCAAACAATAGAACACTATACAGCACTTCAAGTGAATGAACCAGATCTATGTGTGTCAGATGGAGAGATCTCAAAAAAAGTGGAGATAAACAGGATATATAAGGGATGACACCTATAACATAATTTAAAAAAAAAAAAACCAGAAACCAATACAATATTGTTTATGAATACGTATGTATTATAAGTATAAAAATATGTAGAAGGATACACAGAAAAGTCATGATAGCTGCTGTCTCTAAGAAGAAAGAGGAACGTGACTCAGGAGGGGATCCCAAGATTTCAAATTTATTTGTCATATTGTTTCTACTATAGAAATATGTAAGGCAAAAAAGAAAAAGGTTAGCACGTTATTAATTCTATGTGGTGAGTTCACTTACGTGTTTTTTAATTAAAAAAATAAAAATAAACTAATTAAATGAGAATACTAAAAGTGAAATGTCTAACACAGTGCCCTGCTAATAATAGACACTCACGAACGTGAATCTCCACTACTTTAGCCAGCTGGTTAACAGTGAGTAATGGAAATTAATATTTACATAGTTCTAAGTTTTTAGTTACACAGTTTAATTTCATTCCTATTTCTACCTCTTACTTTTTCCTCATTCATTTCCTAGTCAACCCCAAATTTTCCATCCCTTCCTTTTTCTGAGTGCCAACAGCATGTGTCCCCATGGCCAGCGAGGCCACACCACCTCCCTGGAGCTACTGTGGACGACTACTTATAAGGTATACCTAGCTGGAGGTCACTTTGGTCCACAGTTTCCCTGGGCAGGGTAGCCAGAGCAGTGTGTAGAGAAGTAGGGTCTTCAGAAGCAAAGGGAAAAGCCCTAGATTAGGGGCTACCGTGGCCACGGGAGCATTTCCGGACATATTTTAAAAATAGCTAAAACTTGTACCTTTTACTCAGGGATCACTGTCAATACAGTGCACAGGCCTGCCACCTCCCGCTAACAGCAGCCCCACTCCAGGGCTCCATGACCCCCTGCTCTCTCGAGGGCCGCCTGCCTTGCTCAAGTTCATGCCAGCCAGCTGAGCAAAGGCTTTTGGCTCTGCACACTGCATATCTGCTGTGGCAGCCCCCAGCCACACTCAGCTGCCTGCCCAAGAAGCACAAGTTCTCAGTTCAGACACTAATTCTTGTCTGTGCAGCTCGGGTTAAAAAGCAACATAAATTTTCAGTGGTTTGCCATAACCCTAGAGTCCCCATAGACCCTGGCAGACGTTATAAAAGGCAAGCTATTACAGAAACACATAAATAGTATCAGAGCAGGAATACCTATGTATCTAAGATGAATCATACTGCGGCTGACTACAGTTTCTTTGAAGGTTTTTGTGATAAATCCTGACAATATTCCAATAACTATGAATTTTGCTCAAGATATGTAACACCAAACAACTTATAGAACAAACATTTTATGATGCTGACCATAACCACAGCACTGCACGCCACAGCTTACTTGGTGACTAAGGGACAGTGCTGTCCTCTCCACAGAGAGCTCTAAATCCCTCCCCACAGAACACCCCCCAGAGCCTTGGGGAGAAACCCTAGAATACAATGTCTGTCTATCTATAATGCTGATGACATTTGCCCAAACTTTAAATCCTTTATTAAACAATTTAACTTTCAATTCTACATCATTTTATTAGATTTATGATTTTTTTCTTTCTTACATAGCATAAGTAACTTATTTTAAAATATTAATACATGAGGATATTTCAAGTGGAATAGTTGTTAGGATCAACAACTGTTTATTTCTTTCAATGACTTTATTAATGTTTTAATCATATAAAATTGATGCTATGTGACACTTTTACAAGATGGTAATTTCCTACGGTTCAATCTAATGCATATATTTATCACATACAACTTACTTGTAAGCCTTATCAAATAAAACCTCTCTGAATTTAATTTTTTTTGTAGAATAACTTCATAAGGAATATTAAATTATTAAATTAAGTAAAATATTAAATTAAGTAAAACCTTGCTTAAAAATCACTTAAAATTATGATGGGATGTCCAATGGCATATTAAAAATGAAATTACATGCTGGTATAAAGAAAATTAAAGTCATTGTGTTAAAATTGTACTTAATTAAAATGTAGTATTAAGAATAAATAAGCAAAAAAATCAATTCTTAATAATTGAGGTAATTCTTAAATTTTAGTATGCTGTGAATCAAATTCGTAAATGCCATCTAATCTTTTTATTCTAATATCTATCTATTTACAAAGCATGTCATGGGTATTTCAACAATCTGTTAGAAAAATGTTCAACTTGTGCTAATACTTGACAACTAAGTTGGCTTGTTGTTTAATACATGGATTTCCCAGTATTTAAATGTGGCATATCAAACCTAAAAACATACCTCATTGTATACAGCAGAGTCCCATCATCCTGGATTCGAAGTAGCTTATTTGGCATTGTCATATTATGAGCTACTGACTTTTTCCCATTATGAAAGAAGGTATCTGGAGTCCAGATTTTGCTAGCCATTAAATTGTTAAGTCGAAGGATATTCATAGGACCTTTAAATTTTAAACGTTCATCTTTCCACTTTTGTCGAAAGAAAACATCTATTGTATATTCCTGAAATATAAAATAGCATTCCTTTGAAAATAATAAATGTTTCAGATATAACAGAACACTATAAAATTGTGCAGTATATGCATGTATTGAAACAACATAGTGTACCCCCAAAACACGTACAAGAAAATGTTAAAATATTTTGAATTAAATAAAAAGGACTCTCACAAATTAGAACAGTAAGTAAACAATAAAATAAAATAAAATTCTAAATAGTTCAGAGAGTTGAGACAAGTGAAATTTTAATCAGAAAGATAATTCTTTTGATTTATTAATAAAT